TCACCTCAGTGATGTGGTAAGTGAAGTAGTCTATAGTAAGGTTACAAGCTATAGCTTGGATGAATAGAAGAATGGTGAATGTAGACCTCAGTGATGTGGTAAGTGAAATAGTCTATAGTAGGGTTGAAAGCTATAGCTTGGATGAATAGAAGAATGGTGAATGTCGACCTCAGTGATGTGGTAAGTGAAATAGTCTATAGTAGGGTTACAAGCTATAGCTGGGTGAATAGAAGAATGGTGAATGTAGACCTCAGTGATGTGGTAAGTGAAATAGTATATAGTAGGATTACAAGCTATAGCTTGGGTGAATAGAAGAATGGTGAATGTAGACCTCAGTGATGTGGTAAGTGAAATAGTCTATAGTAGGGTTACAAGATATAGCTTGGATGAATAGAAGAATGGTGAATGTAGACCTCAGTGATGTGGTAAGTGAAATAATCTATAGTTTCGATTACAAGCTATAGCTTGGGTGAATAGAAGAATGGTGAATGTAGACCTCAGTGATGTGGTAAGTGAAATAGTCTATAGTAGGGTTACAAGCTATAGCTTGGGTGAATAGAAGAATGGTGAATGTAGACCTCAGTGATGTGGTAAGTGAAATAGTCTATAGTAGGGCAGTTACCTTGTCTGTGTATGTGAATATGTATGTGTATATTTATGTGTGTATGTCTTTTCTGAAGAACTGCTTTTAGATTTCAATGAAACTTGGTGCAAAGATGCTCTCAGACAATGCACAAACCTAATTAGTCTTTGGTGAAAATCTGTGCTTATTAATTACCTAATTTGCATAATAATTAGTAAACTTTCAACTTCTTGTTTGAAAAACTCATCTTAAATTTTGAATTTGGACGCAGTTTTGTCAAAGCTTTCTTTAATTTACGTTTAAGGTTGATGGTCACCTGGACTACTCCAAAAAAATGGATATCATCTTAAGAATTATTGGTGTGTCCTTAAATGACAATCCTACCATGAAACTGTCTGGTGAGGGAGAGAAGAAGAAGAAACCAGATGATGAGACAGACAAGGATGGAGAGAAAGGACTAATTTTGGAAGCTGCTGGAGTTTGTATGGATGAAAATGTTGATGTGGACGATGTGGAAATTGCTGAAGATGCTCTAGGTGAGGAGATTGGTGACGTAGAACTGGAAGAAGTTGGTGCTACTGGAGTGGACAACCAAAGTAACAGAGTTTAAGTTTTCTCAGCTATTAAATACAATAGAGTTTTGAGCTGCCAACAATACTCATGACTTATCAACTATATTTCAGTAAGCTGTTAAAAATTGTCATTTGCAGTTTTTTTACATGAGATCCGATCCATTCTTGACTATAAAAATGTACCCTCCCATGTTAGTTGCATGTGCCTGGCAGGCGTAGAACCACTCATTTAAAGGGTGCCAATATTGAAAGAATTCCCAAGGCTCTGCAGTTCGCCCAACAATGCATGCACCACATGTTAATTTACCAGAAAGAGCTGGTATAAACCTTTGACATAAAAAGAACATGGTACAATGTATATAGATATATACATCTTTTGCACCTGTCCAAACAAGGAACCATACTACCGGTAGGGAGAAAATAAGATTCTGAAGAGAATATTTTAAGTGGCTGCATCTTAAGGTGTTATGGGGAAACCTGCTGCAATTTTTTGAATAACCATTTTGTATGTTACTGTAAAATGCATTATTTTCGCTTGGGATTTATTTTTGCTGAAGGGATGATTCAGTGGAAATAAAATACAGCAAATATACCTTTTTTCCTATATTCAAACATTTAACTCGTCAAAAATAAATTACAACAAAACACCCAAAATTATTTCAGTGAAAATGAATTCCAGTTAAAATAAAGTATTTAACAGTACTATTGCTATGAGCTCCAATGTTGTGAGAATAAAATCAAAGTTAGTATGAATACAACAAAAATTAAAAACGATGGCTGTCCACTGAGAAACAAATTGTTGTAGAAAGACGTTTTTTACGACTCCTTCATTACAAAATTGTTGAATATTATTGATAAGATTTTAGTGACAATTATATCTGTACTTCCATGCATGAAATATTCAGAACTCTGCAGCTATTGAGGCTTCAACTATTGGTTTTTTTACCTCTTATGGTGCTATGTATTTACATCCTCCTTCAGTACCATCTATACATATGTATTCTATCATATTTATATTTATGTATCATTAAATCTATGTAGTGTAGATTGTATACAGTATATACGTACCTGACTGGATATCAACTAAACAGTCACCAATGGTAAAATACTTTCAGATTTGACTACAACAAATTATGTTGCTATTGATTGCCAAGACAAATTACAAATCATGAATTAATTCATCACTTCAGTATTAATAACAGCTATTGTATTATAACTTTCCATATTTCATCTTATATAGAAATTTTCATTCATATATTCTACACGAGTCTGACATAATACAAAGTGCTGGACCACTACCAATCTGATTAAAATAACATCTTAGTTTGGGCTTTTGTAATTTCAATATTTTCGTTAATTAAATGCATTAAATTAAATCCATGTGAACATGTACCAGTACAATAAAATTAAATCCATGAATAAAAATCTAATGAGTAGAATCAAAATAATTGTAAAAAAACCATCTTCTTTTACTATAATTTTAGATATATTTTTACAATAAGATTGCTGACACATTAGCTAAATTTCTTTCCCCTATTCAGTCAAAATGTATAAATTGTAGCAATGTTGTACATCGTTTGATGATACGACTTTACTTCCACTCTTTGATTAAATGTTGTGCCTTTCATTTCTCAACATATCACTATTAAACAGGAGTCTTCCTTCCGTTGTGCTCACATATCAACTACGTTGGATTTATTTACAGAAACTTTGAAACATATTAACAGGTTGTTTCACTGCCAATACTATTTGGTGTAATCATAGGATGTTAAACTGTACAGTGTTATTAGAAATAATAAGAACAAAATTAATAAACACAATTTTAAATAAAGTATATATGTTGACTTTCGTGTCAGTTTTTCAGTGTATTAAGGCTACAGGTAATCTTACACATACCGTATTTCCTCTATTGGTAGCGCATGCATAATAAATAAATTACAGACTGACGTGTTTTTATGGTTTAAACGAAGTCCTACTTTAATGTTTCAGTAAAATGTGATTTTTAGTTTATATGCGCTTCCAGAGTAAATACAGTATCAAGTTTTATAGTTTTAAGTTGAACCTGTATACCCTAATTAGGCCCCAAAAAAATTGTTTTGTTGCCCTCAGCGACCAACCGAAAAATATGAAATATCGGGTCGCATTTTTTTTCCTATATACCTTGGCTATTTACGATACCCTTAGTTTTCATGAGTTAAAAAAAAAAATCCGACCAACCGACCCAATTTTTCAATTTCCTGACTTGAGGGCAACATAAGTTTTGTTTTATTTTTGGTCTAATAATTAACATCATACTTTTACAAAAGAAAATTGTATTTTGCATCCATGTGGTTTTGAAAGATGATTCCATGTGAGCGCCCATAGACAATTGGCATGTTCACCACATTAAATAAATCATATGGTTACAAGAAAAAACAATTTAAAGTATTTGTCTGTGTGTGTGTGTTCCTCAGAGTACCACGCTGAAATTCAAGGCATGGGAGCGAGTAAATTATAAAGGTCACCAAACAACTTGATTCAATCTATTATCTGATTGGTGGAAATTTTAGAATTTAATGCTGTGCAACCAATGGGTTCCACTCTTATAAATTCTCTTTGGCACTTAAAGATGAATTCAAGACATTTTCATGCTGTAGGCAAGTGTGCTTGTCAACATGTTTTATTTCTAATATTGTATGGTGATCAATTTAAAATTTGTCTACAGAAATACATTACTATCGGTAAGTTTATTATTTGTGCAGTGCTTTGAAATTTATTGCTAGTTTTGTTTTAAATGTAAAGTATTTTGAAATAAAAGCCGAATCCTGCTATACAGTGCACAACCATGTTAGTATTCATGTTATGTTAGAGCGCCACCAGTGGCAGACACCACATTTCAATCTTGATAGAAATATCAGTACATATGAACCCTCAACCCTTTTCACAACCAGTTCCCTCTTTTCATCACAAAATAGTCCCCTTTATAGTCTGCACTTTCCTTTAGGAGATTGGGACAAAAATGTAAAATCAGCCGTGAGCTTTTACTTCCTACTTGTTTCTGACTGATGTGTTTATTGTTTGTAAAACTACTCCTACAAAAGACTCATACTGAATACATGTAATTGTAAGCAGTTCAATGAAAAGCTCAATAATCAATAGGACAAGTCACGTTTCCAGTATGTTAGACAGTGATCAAATATAAGTACTCTAAATGCATTAATTATTCACTCTTTTTTATTTTTGTCGACAAGAAAAATTTGCTTGATTAAATCCATGTGATTTTAAAACCCAGTGAAATTGCTCAAAACATAAAAATAGTGAAAATAAATTGTTTTACAGAACTTTTTTTTTACCTACTTTTTTGTAAGAAATCTGATATATTTAATAATTTTATGATAGAGATAAATAGCATACTGCACAAAAACACTTTTTAAGAAGCACTTGTTCATGCAATCATAACTTTGCTTGACGCCATTGCATATTACATTTTCAGGAATGAGCAAAATAAACTAATTTTATGTGGAATGAGTAATTGGTAAAATCCACTGAATTTAATTTACATGAACATGTAAAAAAAACAAAAAAAACTCATTATTTCTTTAACAAATTTGTGAAATCAAAATACAGTTAATATGCTCAAAACATCAAAATAGTATGATTAAATGTCAGTGAAAATAAATGGTTTTACACTACATAAAACTTTTTATAGTAGTCGCAGAAAGCTGCGTATTTTAACCATGTTATGTACAGACACGTTTCATTGCATCGGTTACAACCACCCAATTTGCCCTACTTGTTTACGTTTTGCTTTCATGTGGCATGACTGGTTGGCAAGGTAAGTGCTGATGGTGGTAAGTGAGAAGCAACACACTATGAAACCAACATCTAAATGCAGCTCGCCTGAGATTATTCTTGGGACTGCCAAATTCATTTCATCCAAATTATCAATTATTTTAGTTTACTTTCTTTTTTTATTACCCAAACCATCAATACTAACACTTTGTTGTCAGCGTTCAAAACACAAGGAGACTTTGCAGAACAATCATCAATTGAAGAAATATAGTGTAGGAAGGATGAAAGAAGAGTGAACTCAGGACAGAGGCTGGCACTATTACATAGTAGATGGTGGATTGCATACAGTATTACTATTGATCTGAAATTCTAATACTGGAAGCTTCTCTTTGTTTGTATATTGTCTAGTATTTCTTGCAGTTCTTCATCTTCAAAACGTCCTTCAAGACTAAAACAAAAATTTACAAACCATTACCATATTACAATTTTTACATTCATTAACAAGCATATTTACAATTAAACAGAAGGCGAATATTTTTTGTACATATTATAAAAGAATGTATCAGTATAGTAACAATTAGGCAGCCATACCTTGGAATCAAAGCTTTTGCTTCCTCTGCACTCTCAGGACACAGATTAGATATCGATGACAGTTCAAACTTGTGAAGTTTTTTCTGCATTAAAAGACTGAAACAAATACAATGAATTTAGAAGAAATTATAAGATATAAGTACCATGTGTTAAAGAAAATGTGTTAATTTATACACTACGGAAAATTCCCAAACAAATTTTACATTCATGACATTACCTTCTAACTTCTGTGATTGTTTCCCTGTTTTTGAATCTGGAGAACCTCTGTGTATAATTTAAAGTTTTCATAAAAACCTCACTTAATTCTTGCTCTTCCTCTGCACTTTCATTTTGTGCTTTCCTGTGTTCTAACAACATATGTACTTCAGAATTGAGTAGAGTCTCTGCTTGCTCAAACTCTGTAGGCAGAAATGACATGATTAGTAATTACAAATTATAGTAAAATGAAAAGATGCAACAGGCCTTCTAATGACCCCCCCCCCCCCCTACACATATCCTGGCACTTTCTGACCTCTAAACGTCACACATCCTGGCACTGGTGGTAATGTTTCCAACTTTTTTACTGCAAAATTAATTCCCTGGCACTATGTTATAATCAGAACAATATTTAAATAACCAAAACTAACAAACCTTTCGGGAATTTTAACTCTGACGCATCTTCTTCTTCGTGTTGTAAATCGACTGGCATATTGGTGGCCATTTTATTATGTGTGTTTGATTGTTGTGAATCTACTCCAAAAATGTCTTCCCAGCTTAGGTAATATTCACAAACAACAGCCGTAATCACTGAATAAATTAAACTTAATGCAGATATTAGTACTACTAAATAATGGTTCATTAGTATGTCAACTGTAGCAAAATATGGACGAACTTGCTGGTACCTCAATTGTTTTCACCTATTACCAATTTGTATTATTTATTCTAAGTTAGAGGGTCTGGATCAAATCTTAAAATGGCGGACTTGCTCGGAAATATCTTGGGATCTATGGAAAAACCTCCTTCTGCTGGAGACAAAGAGAAGAAATTGGCTAAACGTAAGTTATGTTACTATAGTAACGTTAAGAAAATCGTTGTGAAATTGTGACCACGAGTTTGTTCGGAAACTCTTTGTTTGAGAAATGGAAGATTTTTTCCCAGCTACTTAAAATTCAGTTTTTCTCTCTGTACCACTTTTCAGGGAAATTCAATCTCCCGTTTTTTACAAATTTTGCATAGGGTGTTTTTTGATGTCCGTTTTTTAATAATTTTTAATTTCTGCAGTTTGTATCAATTGTTCAATGATTAAACGAAAGGAGTTCTCGCAATTGTTGTAAGTGGGCGCCCTTCACGTGTGTGCTATTCTTCTCAACTCTTCAAACAGAGGGCGTTCTGCTACCAGCATGTAACATGTTTCATGATGTTCAGATTTGCTGTTCAGATTTTCTCTTCTCATGGTCAGCTTGTTCCATGATATTTTAAACATTCACACTTCATCTTATTTCTTATTATAATATTTCTTTCTCTTGGAATGAGTTCCTTTTGTACCCCCATCCCTAACCCTACCCCCTACCCTCCAGCACTCCCCATTTAATTGTACATGCCCCTCCTAAGGACATCTATAGTCATCTAAAGGGGGCATATACAAATTAATTAGGTAACTGGAAGTGAGTGTTAGGATTAGGGATGGGGTTACAAAAGGAACTCTTGCCTTTCTCTGTTATAACATTGTATATTGACTGTAGCAGTCAAAAGAAAATGTATAAAAAAAATTAATAATCATAAATATGCAGCAGTCCTTCTATCAGAGGGACTGTGAGCAGCCAGTGTTCAGCAAGTGAGTGCAGTTGAGTAGTTTGATGAACCACTAAAAATAGAACTGACATAACTGTAGAATTGTGGGTTGAAGTGTGTAAACTGTGAACGTCAAGGGTTATTATCGGTTCACTCAAATTTATTTGCAGAGAGGAAAAAACAGATGGAAAAAATACAAGAAGCTGATAAAAAGAGAAAATCAGACTTTCGATTGAAAGTGGAAAAAGAAGTAAACGAGTTTACAAATAATGAAACAAGCACAAGACTGAGATATGAACCAATGGACAGGGTCTATAGAAGTATAATGTAAATATCTGTTTATATGTTACCATGGTTACAAGATACCACAGTTGAATGGTTTAACATCAAGGATCCGTTGATAGGTTCTGTGCCATTGTTGTACTTCAAATCAAGTAATCTGGGATGCAGTCGCTAATAGATGCGACTTTTGGGGGAGATTACACCAGTGCATCATGGGAAATGTCAATTAAATGGCCAGCACATTGTCTGCTAACATATTATTCTATATTTTCTTGTCACTACCATAATAATAAGATCTCTTAATTATCAGTTGCCCAAGGCACTGAGACTACCAATTATATTCCAAATCAGTGGCCCAACTGCACAATTAGAAATTAAAACAAAAAATAGTGTTAGTTTTCTACATAAATTAATTAGTCTTCAAAGCATTCAAATTCATTATAAGTTGTAATGTTCATCATGAAGGGTCTGTTCAATATTTTTGAATAAATAATGAAAAAATATGTAGATTTACTTGTGAAAAGTGATGAAAGTTTACTTCAATATTCAAATGTTTTTTAAGGTTTCAATTTTTTTTTTTTTACAGATATGATGTGGCAGAAGTCGCTGGACTCACCTCGTTTTCATTTGGTGAACGAGATGAAGAAAGATATTTAGTTTTATTTAAAAAGGTAAATCTGAAATACTCATCTCAAAAGTAGGTTTATAATAGGTAATCATAAAATCTTCTCTCATATGCCTGGGTCGTCCTCACAGTACATGTGCAGCAATGTGCCTTCTAAGCTTATGACATGCCACTGATGTACAAAAATTTGCTGTGTCATTGACGCAACAGAAAATCGGAAATTTATATAGTGATCTTGAAAAACATCTTACTTTAACTTATAGTCATGTAGTTGTAATTTGGTAAAATGAAACTCATATTTTATAAACAAAATACTGTAAATAGGAAGGAAGTCAGGGCTGCAACGTTTGTCCCCTAAAGTCACC